CTTTTATGTTGTATGGATAATTATGTCGCTCCGTATGTCTGTAGTAATCGATAAGTTCCTGTAAGGAATTATTGTATACATCTAAGATGTGTTTTATTGTAACTTTGTGCTGACCGATTGGTCGTAATAAAGAACTTGTACTTGTAAACTCTCTTAATGCTTACAGACATCCTAAGCATGTTTTTAATACATAGCGCTTAGCCAATATATGCCCGAGATGCTATGTTTTTATCCAGCTTTGAGCAGAAGCTTGTCCTAGATGACCTTTACTGTCCCTTTAATTCTTAGAAGTCATGATTATGTGATATTCTACCTCATTGTTTTTCTTGGCAAGATTTTTGAATATTTCAAACCCAGTTATGGAGAAGAGAGTGCAGTTAGTATACCAATCAAATCACTCCCTGGCTTAAAACTGCAATCTAGAAGTCCAGAAACAATTCTGAGTCCATCAGCACTTATTTGTATGAATAAGAAACTGTAAGAGGTAAATCAACATCCTCCTATGTTGTAACCTGTTCCATCTTATCTAGATTGAGCTTTAGCTTATTTACTTATGCAAGTCTGTTTACTTGTCCAAGGGCAGATACTCAAGACTACCAGTGATCTTACTTGCATCTGATGGGGGGAAAAAATTCCTTGCCATCGCAATACAGCTAACTCTTCACCCATAAAACTTTGGATGGCCTCTCTCAGCAGTTTAGTGTAGATTTAAAATCACATAAAAGATAAGATCAGTCTTTTTGGAACTCCACAAAGTAGTTGCTATGAATCAGATGGTGATTCTCCACCACCCTTTTCTAGATCCTGTCTGTATGACAGGCATGAATATATATCGAAACAGCAATATAAACTCTTGTTGTTGTGTGCCTTCAAGTCATTTTTAAATTTTTGTGATGCTAAGTTGAATCTACAGTGAGGATTTCTTGGCAATATTTTTTTCAGAGCAGGTTTTTGCCTTTGCCTTCCTCTGAGAGAATGTGACTTGCCCAAGGTCACCCAGTAGTTTTCATGACTGAACAGGGATTTGAACCCTGGCCCCCAGAGTCATAGTCCAATGCTCTATACCACTATACCACGCTGGCTCTATATGAACTCGCAGTGACCTAAATCCTGTTCTTAGTCCTGACTAAGGTTGAACCATAGAAACAATAGGATTTATCTATATGCTGATTCACCATTCAACAATCGATTTAGTGGGTCTACTGTAGTTGAGACTTACCGACAGAATGCAAGGCAATACCTGTCAGTACAGAAGCATGGTTTCAATTTGTCATGTGAATTTCAGCAGGAAAAAACAGGGTTATATTTGCATTGTCTTTTCTGGTGAAAATTACTTAACTGGATTGATGTAGCAGTTTTGTTCACAGATTACAAAAGGATTGAAGTAGGCTTAAAAAAAGTTTTCACCCAGGAAAATCCAGAGTTACCTACATAGTGCTGGAACAGACTGGCAAGACGTCTAGAGCTTCCATAGTATAACTAGCAAAATCAGTGGAAACATCCTTCAAAGCATTTGAAGGTCACCTGAATGTAAATTTGGAGGTACTGTATATACGCGACTATAAGTTAACCTCATGCATAAGTCGAGGGAAGGTTTTGGGGCAAAAATTATGAATTTTGCAATAATAATAATACCCCACCCCTCTGTCGAACAATCGTGTATGACCTGTGTATATGTCGAGGGTAAAAAATAGGGGTATGTAACTAAGGATCTAAACAGAATGAAAGAAAGAAAAACAGTGCCAAAGAAATTACAAATTTCCAGCAGGTATAACTGCACTTACCCTAAAGGATGGATTGATAAGAAAATAGAGGGAGTTCAAAGCTTCCAGGATAGATTAGGCTCTTATCTTTGATCAGAAGATGATTTCCTTTTAAAAATTAAGAGTTAAAGTACAGTACTTACATTGACCCATGGATAAGTTGGCTCAAGTTTTTAGGGGCCATTTTTGGACTAAAATTTCTAGACTTAGACATGAGTATATACAGTAAGTATACAAACTGCTGCTTTGAAGAAGATTATGACTGTTGAATTGCCAGTGAATCAGGTCTCAATAAGCAGTCCTCTGTGAAGGCACATCTGTGGGTCACTCTTAATCTGTGGAGCTCCCTCCCATGGAGGATTAGGATAGCCATCTCTCAGTTCTCCTTTTGCCGACAGGCAGAGACCTTTTTATTTCAACACACTTTTGGCTCAATTGGTTGTTGAAGTATGCTTTAAATACTTTAAAATTGTTTTAAATTAGTATTTTTACTAATTATTTTAGTAATTAATATTTTAGTACTATAGTACTATTTACTATTATGATTGGGTTTTAGCTGCAGTTTGTTAATATATGTTGTGAGGCACCTTCAATCCCATATTGGGAGAAAGGAAGGATATAAATTAAATAAATGAATGACAACAAAGATACAAAGAAGATACAATTGCCTTCATCACTTCCTCTTTTTTCGCAACATATGTTGTTCCAGAAACCCATTGGAACAGATATGTGGTTCATGTTAATACCTGGTAAAAATATTGAAAATCTGGCATTCTATAAAACCAAGAAGAAAGACACTTGTAAATTTCTTGATCAAAGTGGAAGCATGCATTGTACTGCAAAATTGGAAAGTTACTTAACAGTCATCCAGTACTGTTGAGTACATACCTGGGCGGTTATTTTAGAAGTCTGAAAATGAAATACTTTATAATATAATAATTAAAGCACAGATTTAATTGTCTTTGTCAATAAGCAGGATATAAATAAATATTATTATTATTATTATTATTAAGAAGTTGACCTCATTGGAATAGAAAGCAAGCAAAACCACAGGAGAATAGAGCTGTAAGCTGCAGAAAATTCTATTGCTTCATTATATTTGAAGGAACTTTGGGAAGGACTCCCAGAAACAGAGGAGAATGCACTCTGGAATGAGAGCCAGAATGATGTTGAGATTTGAATATTGTACAAAGATTCTGGGAGACCAGGGTTCAAATCCCTGCTTGTCCATAGAAACCAACTGGTTGATCTTGGGCAAATCATATTCAGAGGAACATAAAAAAAACTCAGAGGAACATAAGAACAAATATTACTACAATTAAACTGTTATAGGTTTGTGAAGTCGTAGGCTTTCATGGCCAGCATCCAAATTTTTTTTTGAGTTTTTGTTCTGTGTGGCCATGTTCTAGAAGTTTCTTTCTGACATTTTGCCAGTATCTGTGGCTGGTATCTTCAGAGAATGTTATAGGTTTGCTTTAGGGTCACCATAATTTGGAAATAACTTGAAGGTGAACAACAACAAAGGAAGAAAAAGGCACAGCTAAATTTCTAGGACTCTGAATGGAACAGAACCCTGGAAGTAAGTCTAACTGAGAAGAAATATAATCATGGTGTGCAGATTAACAAGCAAATAGGAATATTCCTCTTCTCCTAACTTTTGTTTGTATGGCTTTGTGTTGTTTTTTTTTTTTAACTATTGAGACTTTGAATCCTATCACTGACCTTGATATTTGTTCTCTGTATATGCGAATGTTGGTATTTCAGTGCACTATCAACCTTCAAGCTCTGGATAAATATATCCCTTTACATGTAAACTGAGCACATTCTGAGAAAGAACTGCAGTGAAAGGCTAATTAATAATAGTTATATGCAGTGCAGTAGCTTTCCTTCCTAGGGTCTGAGTGAGCTACAGAATTGTGAATTAATGCAGTCTTACAGTGTCCCATGAGAGGATGCCAAATATTACTCTCCACATTAATAACTGTTCTGTATGAATTTTAGTATTTGTTATGGATCACTTGGGCTTTTCCTGAATGCTGTGTGAGAAGAGAGATAAGTCAAAGAAGTTCATTTGTTTGTTGAAAACCATGGGTCATCATAAAATATATGCAGGATGTAACAAATTGCCAATGAATAGCATACTCTATAAAGCTGAGGGATTTTCACTGTTGGGAGGATATACATGTCTTGTGATTTATAAGTGACCGTTTAGAACTAGCTGTAGTTTAAATACTGTATCACTTCATAGACATCCACTACTGTTATATAAGATAAAATTTCTCTGACAAAATTATGCTGATTGTCTTACATTCTGGATAGATTGTGCAATTATTTTAGTTTGAGTAGTGACATATTTGCCGAGTTTCAAACTAACATGGTGAACTTTTCTACCATCAGATATATTATAAAGTAATGCCTATTGTTATCCAATTCTCAAATAATTATTGATAATGTGAGAAATAATAGATAATATACTTGGCTGATTCATGTCCACAGATTATCTGCTGGAAAATTTAGGAATGTATATCTGTGGACATTA